TTGTATATTCTTGCCTTCTTTGTCAAAGATTAATTGACCATAAGTGTGTAGGTTTATTTCTGGGCTCTCTGTTCTGTTCCATTGATCCACGTGTCTGTTTTTATGCCAATAGCATGTTGTTTCGATTCCTGTAGCCCAGTATTCTTGTCTGAGGTTTGGGGGAGTTATTCATCCAGCTTCGTTCTTTTTCTTCAGTATTGCTTTGGCAATTCTGGGTCTCTTGTGAGTCTCTATAAATTTTTGGATTGTTTGTTCTACTTCTGTGATTGTTTGTTCTACGTCCTGAGTAATTTGATAGGGATCCCATGATATTTGTAGATGCTTTGGGTAGTATGTCCATTTTAACAATATTAATTCTTCCAATCCAAGAGCCTGGGATATCTCTCCATTTCTTTAAGCCATCTTTAATTGTGTTAATCAGTGTTTTTTGGTTCTCTGTGTATAATCTGTCAACTCTTTGGTTAGGTTTATTCCTATAACTTTAGTTTATTTTAATAAACTGAATTTCTGGTTACTCCCATATGGGGTGGGTGTCACAAGTCTAAGATTTGTCATAGTCCTACACATCCATTCAGCTCTTCCTTCAGAAAATTACGTTTAAAGTTAATTGATATCCTATTCATGGTGTAGACTTTAGACTTTGTACATAGCTGATGTTCACTGTTTTCACTGCACTATAGCATAATACAGAAATGATACTTCTATTGTGGCTTATTCTTAGATTCACAATTAAAATAAAGGTTTCGTAATACAGGAAAAGAAATATGTAAAGTCCATTCCTAGTTGCTGCTGCTGATGCAAAAACAACTCCTTACTAAAGTGTACACTTAAAAATGTTTAAGACGGTAAATTTTATGTTGAGTGGTTTTTTTGTGGGGGGCTTATAAGCAGACATCTACTTCTCACAGTTCTGGAGTCAGAAAGTCCTGGTGTGTGTTTTTTAAGCACTATGAAAAACAAAGTACGGGGGAGGGTATAGCTCAAGTGATACAGCGCATGCTTAGCCTGCATGAGGTCCTGGGTTCAATCCCCAGTACCTCCTCTAAGAATAAATATGTGAGTCTAATTACCTCCCCCTTCCAAAAAAACTAAACAAATAAAAGAACCCCCTGTCTTCCTCAAGTACAATGTAGTTGTCAAGTATTCACTTTAAGTTATCCTTTATATTCCCAAAAAAACGTAAAATTTACAGAAAAGTTCCAAGACTAGTATAGTTAACTCATCTATTTTCACCTCAATTTACCAAGTATTAAATTTTTACCACATTGGTTTCATATCCTCTTCCCTCTCCCCTCCCCGTGTGTGTATATGTATATACACACATACACACTTATTGATATGTTTGTTATTATTAATACTGAGTCATTTAGATAAAGTTTCAACTGTTATGACCCTTTAGCCTAAGTACATTAGTGTATATATATATAGATAGCCTTAGAAGAAAGAAAAAGTCATTCTCTTGGCTAATCACTGTCCTAAATCGGGAAATTCGACCATAGGAAAATGCAGTCATTAAAATTTTCTCAGTGTATACTCAGATTTCCCCAGTCGTCCCTATAGTTCCCTTGACAGAATTTTGCTTTTGATCCAGAGTCCAGTGCAGGATCATGCATTGCATTTAGTTGTCATGTCTATTTAGTCTTCTTTAGTCTGGAATAATTCTTCAGTTTTTCTGTCGTTCATGACACGGACATTTTTGAAGAGGATACAGCAGTTGGTTTGCAGAATGTTAATCAATTTGAGGTATTGTTTGAGTCTTTTTCCCCTCCTCAACACTTAGTGTTTAATCATTCCGTGTAACATGCTGAGTAAACTGAGAGACATGGTTTCAACCTTGAGCTCACAGTCTAGTCAGAGACCCAAACAAATCACTGATAAGTACAGTCACACGTATAACACAGACAGGTACAAAGGGAGCACCTAAGTTGTGTGAGGGCAGTCTTGGGAAAGGAAGAGGATAATGAAACCCTGGTTTCTTAGTTTCTGGTAACAGACTCCTAAAATAATGCTCTTGTGGTTCTTCAGCATCACATTTGTTTCCACACGAGCCTAAGGCTTTTATTTCGTGAACAGTGAAAGAGTGAATATTATCAACTCTTATTCATATCTCATGTTTCAGTGCTTAAATTGATCAGCTTTTTATTTTCAAGGGCCTGTCCCAGAAGCTGATCAACGGGAAGTGGCTAAGCTAGAGACTGGGTGTGAGCATGATATTGGTGTCAATGGGAAGAGACTGCCAAAGCGAGAGCCCTTTTAAAATGCCAGAAGCAGGAATGTTCTCCATTAAGTGTGCAAATTATAGGGTGTCTGTTTTCCACAATATTGTATTTGTAATGATACAGGGGTAACAGTACTGTTCGTTTAGAGCAGAGTTCACTTATAAAGGTGATTTGAAATGTAGTTTCGACCTTAAGTGCCTGACTTACTGGGCTATCAGGTATAGAAACAAATTTGGTTAAAGCCATACTGGATTATAAAAGATGAAAACATTTTCTTACTTTTAAGTATGAGTCCTTTAACCAACAGTTGCTAATTTTCATATGCGTTTGTAGAGTTCTGCGTTTAACATACACGTAGTGCATTTGTAACACACATCAGTTTGTATGACATATGCTGAAGCCTTGAAGTATGTTCCAGTACCAGCTCTAACCCAATTTCTGTGACTCTGGGCCAATCCTTAACTTCTAAACCCATCTTTGCTCTTATAAAAATAGTGAATTCAAATCAGATATTTAAAAATCATTTTCAGGTCTGATTTTTGCATACTCTGTTTCTGTTGCATTGAACACACAAAACAATACATGATTTTATTTATGATAAATCATCAAACTCTGACCTGAGTCAAGTTACAACACCTGAATGGAGGTTTCCTCACTACTAAGAAAACGAACACTTTGCTTGATGGTTGTTTCTCTGTTGGAGTTGTGAATGCCCGTCCTCAGATTCTGCCAAATTCTGAAATCTCTGGCTCTCAAAAGACAATTGCATTTTGTCTTTTTTTCCTTCCAGTTTTTATTGATATATAACGGACAAAAATGTGAACAGTTGCATTTTAAATCCTTCCCCAAATGAAGCCTCAAATGGCTAACTACTAACATTTCAAGAGATAATCTAGTTTCTAGTCTCTATGTCTGATCAGACAGAGAAAGTGCAGATAGTCAGCGATACTCAAGGCGGGTGCAAGATGCATATGCTTAGCACGCTTTCTACCCCCACTGCCCACTGTCAGTCTTAATGAGCCAGTCTTCCTAAGAAAATGTAGGCACTATGATATAATCATCTCTAACCATGTGACATGTGGCATGAAAATTTTGCGTCCCGAGGTATCAGGTGGGTAAGATTGAAACGCAAAGACCGTAACGGAAGTACTTCCTGAGTAATCAAGTTAAGTGTTCTTACGTGTGTGTTTTGCAGATTACCAACTATTAATTACATAGCTTCTGAATTTAAAGGAAGCACTTGATGCTTAGGAAGTAAACTACCTTTCATTGCATTCCTGGCCCATTCCAAACTCTTTACATTAAAAGATAGTTTTCAGGCTACTTTCAGGAACCTATTGAATGTAGTTAAAATATACTCATGGGAAGATCATAGCCTTCAACACATATGCTATTAAAAAAGGAAAAGATTATAAATTACATGTGCGTCCAATATAAAAAATCATCAAAGGTCAAAAAAGTGTAGACCTAAGGGAAAAGGAAAGAGAGTCTTAAGAAACACGAAAAAGACGCGAACAGATATGGAGTATATTATCTGTCTCTCTTTACCTTTCTATGTGTACATATGGCTTTCCAGGTTTTTCCCTTTTTTCACCCCACTTTCTGTCTTTGTTCCAGGCTGTGAGAAACGGTACTATTTTCCTTCACAATTTGATGTTACCTTTGATGGTACTGACTTAAAACTAGTGTAACTATGTCAGACATTATATAAACTGGAGTGCTTTTAAGAATGTAAAGATCCACCGTTCATAATTACAGCAGGAGTATGGATGAAAACAGGGACAAATGGTGAACCTACTACCGCATAAGGGTGACTTACGCTAGCTCCTAGAAACAGTTTTGCACTTTTCCACAGACGGAGCCGAAACAAATGCAATACTAGCCTTTTCTATTTATTTCATTTAAGCAATTCTAAGTGTGATGTTACTGTTTTAGATATCCTATATTCAGAATGTTATTCAAGTCAACGCATTTATAGGAAATTTTAAAAATTCCTTCTGTTTCCTAGGTGTTTCATTTGTTTTGATTTTTACTAAAAGTATAAAAAATGTTGCTTTCCACTTAAAACTACTTCGGAATAGAAGCATTGGGTTTAGTGAGTTCTGAAGTTGAACAGTCGACTTGTTTCTCTGTACCACTAGAAAGAGTGATGTGTTTAGCAACTATTGTTAATGTGTCTGAAAGTCTACCTTCAGAGTCTCTGCAGAGGTTTAACTGGGTATAAGCCAAGGGTCACCCTTAGGGTTCTGGTTTTAGTCCATGTTATAAAACTGAAACTGTGGTGTCCTCTGTATGCTTTAGTGCCATCTGAATAAAATTTTAACTAATATTCCCAAATGTTATGTTATCTTACAGGTGAAGGGAAACCACAGGTTTAAACGAAGACAAGCTGTATCCATGCAGGCTGTTCTTATGTTGGAAATGTACCTGTTCAAATTCTCTCAATAAAGTTTTGCGGTTTTGTCCAAAGAATTCTTGCACATCTTTTGTTAAATTTATTCCTAGGTATTTGATGTTGTTGTAAATTGTTCCTGTTTTGGAAATACTATATTTTGTTTGATCTGCTATAGAGAGACATATAGTGTTACAGAAAAATATGACTAGATTACTGAACCTTTTGGGGGTAATTTATCGGGAGACAGAGAAAAAAAATATCCAATAAGCCTCATGGTAAAATGCCGCAACATCCCCTGCAAATACCTGTCCTCTGGAGCTATTTAGAGGTTGGGAGGGAGCAGCAACAAGTAAATTTCCTCTGCAAAATCTGTTGGCCTGACTGTCACAGATTTCACTCAGAACCCCCCAAGTGCCTGATTCCAGCCTTATACCCCTTTTAATACAAAACGGCGGCAGGTTACATCTCGCAGCTCCCATTTGTATCCTCAGACACCAAAAACAGTTATGAAAAAAGACCTTACCTAGAATTCACCCTGCTTAAGTAATGATAGAGCTTTAATTATGATCAGCAATTATTTCTCCCTCTTACACAGGGTCAAAAATATTTCCTGATCTAAAAGGACTGAAATTCTATGGTTCAAATTAAAAAATGTGACTAAATGTCAGATATCCTAATTTGACAGAAAATATATGAGAAGTTCCTAGGCCTAGACCTGGATGAAAGGATTAGAACATAGGAAGAAGGAATGGGACCAGGACAGCTTGCTGAGGCAAAATGACTTGGGTCCTACCTACTCTGTCTCCTTATAGGCCATGGCATGGAATAGCCATTGGTTTTGATCCTGGCTGTAACATACACTGTGTGATGTTGGGAAAGGTAACTATATCCTTCGAGTCTGTTTCCTCATTTCTAAATTAGGAATTAAAATATTTACACTAAATTATCACTGTGGTGAATAAGGGAAATAACGTATGGATACATGTGGTGTTTTCCATGGGGAATGTTACATTGGTGGGGCAGACAGACTCATAAACAGAAGGGCAGTTGAAGTGCAAAAGGGGAGCACAGGGAAGGGACCTAGGAAAAAAGTGGTGAGTGGGGGTGGCCCCAAGCAGGAGGAAAATAAGGAGCGGAGACTCACGAGGGTGGAAGAAGTCAACTGGGCTTCCCATACTCACTGATCACTGGGTTCACATACTTGATTCTGTTGCTGCAAGGCCAAGTGACATCTATGCCTTACTCTTGAAACTCAAATAACCAGATTGACAGTGTTGTTTATTCAAGAAGTGTTTACTGAGAGGTTAGTTTTTCCCTCAGCCCCTTTGTATATGGGAAGACCTTAGCGAATTAGCCAAAGGAGCCCCTAACTGAGGTTGATCTGAGAAAGAAGTAGTGACCAAGATTCATTATAAATATAAAAGTAGGCAATACCCTGGTACTAGATGCTTCTGAAACAGTGTGGGGTAAAGAGCAATCACTCCCTGTGTCAGAGATCTTCAAGACCACCCTCAGGCTTGATGATCTGCTAGAAGGACTCAAAGGGCCCAGAAGCTGTTAATAGTCATGGTTCGGTTTATCACAGCAAAAGGTTACAGATTAGAATCAGCAAAGGAAAAAGGTGTGTGGGGTGAAGTCCAAGGGAAACCAGGTGCTAGATTCCTCCCCAGGGGTCCCTTCTCAGGAGAATTGCATGAGGACACACTTATATATTCTCCCAGTAATGATGTGGGACAATACATGTGAAGTATTTACCAACCAGGGATGCTCATCTGAGCCTTGGGGGTCCATATTTTTTCTTGGGAGTTAGTCACATAGGCATGCGGAGTTCATGTGACTGTCCTCAGCTACTCAGACACTATGTCCCCAGAGCAAAAACAGATATTCACTGTAAATTACATTGTTCGGATAAACTTACTCAATCCTGCTGGTACGGGGTGGCCCAAGGTCTCAAGAAGGCAAAATATTCCAAGGGCTCAGAGGTTATCTCTTAGGAGCCATCCAAGGGCCAGTCCTGGAGGCAGTCTTCTTTGGTATGTGCAGGATTGGAGCAACCCAGGCCGGCTGAGGTAACTTTCCTGCACACCTCCCTCTAAGAGAACAGAAGTTTGCATGGAGATATTTCCTATGATCTCTTGTTTATAATGTATTGTTTCCAATAACCAAATGCTGGTTTAATAATGGTATAGGGAGGAAAAAATATTTTTCCCTACCCTTCTAAGTTCTTGGCTGGGGCCATTGAAACAAAGGAAAAGTAACAAGAGTTAAAAGCATATTAATTTAATATAGTAAGTTTTACATGACCTGAAGAAATGGTTACACCTAAGTGTTTTATGCTAGATTTGATGAAGGGTGGAAAGTCCTGGAAACATGGGTAAGATAGAAAAGAGTGTGAGCTGAGTATAGTAAACTAGGGGAAACATCAAGGCCTGTCTGTTCAGATTCTTGGCAGTGTCCTTGTGTGTTTGGCAATAAGGATGTTCCTTTCCTTCAGGTAGAGGGAGGGCAGCTCCCATATGAGAGTCTTATGACCTACTTCAGAGAAAGGTCAGAAAATCCTGCCTGTACCTGCCGTTTCTTAAATTAATTCAACTTGAAATATTCCACATGCCAGGGTGCCATATTTTGAGGTCAGTGTGTCCTGAATCCTATCATCACTATACTTGATCAAATGAGAATTGCCTGTCGTCATCACTCAGACCAAAAACAAAACAAAACAAAACAACCCCAAACAAACAACCCAAACCCAAACCCAATCCAAAGCCAAAAAACAATCTTTTCTGAGCACCTGCTGGGAATCAATCTCCTCGCTCTGGGCTAGGCAGGCTCTGAGGACATAGGAATGATTGATTCCTGCCAGGATATGTTCTCAAAGAGCTCTGAATTAATGAGTAGAGAACCATTCAGAAGGTAATGACAGAACAAGGATGATGAGAGCAGTGACAGGGGAGAGCGAGGGGATGCTCAGAACAGGAGAGCCCTGTAACCCAGGTGGTTAGGGAATGGCTTCTCCCAGGGGATGATGTATGTGCTCTGGTACTTCTTCACTATAAGTACATGTTAGTCTCTCTGTTACTATCCCTCTTTCATTAAAAAAAATTCATCCCTCTATTATCCTTATTTTATAGATCAGGTAATTGAGGATAAGAGAAGATAAGTATCTTATTGAAGATAAGTGTCTTATTCAAGGTCAAAGCACTAGTCCCCAGTGCAGCTAGTTTTCAACCCAGGATTCTTAAACCCCTGTGTACTTCTCCTTATCTATTTGCTTTCAGTATTTTCTTCTGTCTTAGTTCAAATTCATCATAAATACTTTTCTTTGCTCTGCTTGTCCCATAAATTCCTTTTATTGTAAATGTATCATTGATTTTTTTAAATTGAAGTGTAGTCAGTTTACAATGTTGTGTCAATTTCTGGTGCAGAGCATAAAGCATATATATATACATATATTCGTTTTCATGCTCTTTTTCATTATAGGTTACTACAAGATACTGAATATAGTTCCCTGTGCTATAGAGTAGAAACTTTTTGTGTATCTATTTTATTTATATATTTTTAAAAATTTGGAGGGCGAGGTAATTAGTTTTACCTATTTATTTATCACTTTTGGTGGAGGTACCAGAGATAGAACCCACGACCTCGTGCATGCTAGGCACACACTCTACCACTGAGCTATACCCTCTCCCTTTGTATATCTATTTTATATATAGTAATTAGTATCTGCAAATCTTGAACTTCCAATTTATCCCTTCCCACCCCCTTTCCCCCCAGTGACCATAAGTTTGTTTTCTTTGTGTATTTGTTTCTGTTTTGTAGATAAGTTCATTTGTGCCTCTTTTTTTTTTGATTCCACATATAAGTGATATCATATGGCATTTTTCTTTTGGGCTTACTTCACTTAAAATGACAATCTCCAAGTCCATCCATGTTGCTGCAAATGGCATTATTTTATTCTTTTTTATGGCTAGGGAGTATTCCATTACCATAGATTCTTTTTCTTTAATTCCTCTGGAGTTTATTGATTTATTTATTTCTACAACCTTAGTGCCAAACTGCCAAAATATTTTTCAAAGTGGTGCATCCTCACCAGCAGTGTACGAGGGCTCCAGTTGCTCCACATCTTCATTAACTCTTCAGATGGTCAGTCTTTTTCATTTTAGCCATTCTAAAAGGGGTGTGTGTAGTGGCATCTCCCGGGGCTTGGAATTTGCATTTCAACATGTTGAGCATGTATTTTCATGTGCTCATTTTTCATCAATATGCATTGTTGTCTGTTCACATATCTTGTACATGTTTTATTGGGTTATCTTCTTTTTTGAGGATTTACTGTTTATTTTTATTTTTTCTTCATATTCTGAAATTTTCCAGTAATACCCCTTTGTCTTTTATTCATTTGTGTTGGATACACTTGGCTTTCATTTTTTAGGAGCATTCTTGCATTATTTCTTTGATAATTTTCTTTGCCTTTTTTCCTCTGTTCTCAGTATCTGGAAATTTTCTCAATCTAACTTTAGACCACCTTATTAAGACTTAAAAAATTGTTTCACTCCTTTTGTCTGTTTATTCAACTTTCTGGAAGATTTGCTCAACTTGTTTTTTTAAGTCTTCCATTAAATGTTTTATATTAGCTACCTGATTTCCAAGAGATTTTTTTGAAATCTATTTTTTTCTCTTCAAAAAAGTTTTTAAAAACATAAAAAGCAAAAAAAAAACCCCTACTTTTATACTTTTCCTTAATTAATGGATGCTTAAAATATAAACATACAATTTACCTTATCCATTTAAGTTCTCTTTGTTGAGTTCTAATACCAATATTATGGCAAATTCCTACAAAATATTGGAAACTCATTGTTTCCCTCCCTAGTGGAAGACTTTACAGAGCACTGGAATTGTATGTTGCCCATGGGCTTACAAACCCTGGCCTCCCCAGCTTTGACAATAACCTTTTGTAAAGGACAAAAGATGGCCCAAGGGAGCAGAAATTCTTAGGATGTATCAACTTTGAGTGT